TCCTTGACATGGTTTGACGTCAGGACCAGCGTTGTCAGATTCGGTATCTGTTCTGCTATCCTCTTGTCCACGCTCTGTATTCGATTTCGCGCACACAGCAACGTGTTCAACCGCGGGGAAAGAGGGAAGTTGGAGATGGCGGTAATGTCATTGTCGGTGAAGTCGATCGCATCTTGCGGGCCTGCGACGCCCAAGTTCTCGATCGTAGGGATTTTATGGCCTATACAGATTTGCACGAGGAGATGCGTGTGTGGTCAACTATGCTCTTGCAGAAATCAAAGTGTAGCATCTGCTCTTTTCAGACGTACCTCGGAGATCGAGTTCACGCTCTTTGAGGGGGTTCAGATATGACAGGGAGTTGTGGATGAGGTCCGCAGTGAGCCTCATTGCTGCGGCAGCGGTTGTCCTTGAGGGTTGGTTCAATCTAGCGGGAAAGTCGTTTCGGGTTTGGGGGACGTGATGGGAGAAATATCAAGAAATTTGCGACTGACGTGTGATTGGTCAGGAAGCCATTCTCAGCCTTGTCATTTTTCACAAGGCTGAGATTTTCCGGGTACCTGTCGCTAACCTTTTGCCCAGGTTCGCTTCAAACATGAACCCATTTCCTGATGTTGTCCTTGCACAAAGATACGATCCTACGTTGCTTCGTTTCTAGGTAGGTAGATGTCCAAACAGGTGACATTAGCCTCGCTCACAAGGCCATGTGTATTTAAAGGTTAAATGCAATCCTTATGACCGGGTAATCATCTTGAAAATCCCTTTACATGGTGACGTCGACATACATAAGTCTGTGGGCGAACTTCAGGTGTTCTTCCTGTCCCATGGTATACCTCGTACTGTCTGTCATCTCCATGAGTTTCTGCGCACTAAAGGAGAGCAAGGACCGAGGTCCCCCTGGCAAGGAACCCCGCGATTGATTCTCCGCACAAGAGGTACGAGGTACAGTAAAACGATACATATGATTGGAACACTTGGATTGATGCCTGCGCCCTGTCGCTATACAAATCTATTCAATACAAACAGAACATTTGCCTTACCTCACTTCTCTGCTAGCGACACCCCAACAATGGCCACCGAGACACTGACGACGGAGCAGCAGCGAGCCGCCTATCTCAAAGAGGCGCAGGAAAAAGCCGCCAAACTTTTTGATGAGATCGAGCAATCCATAGTCCGGCCCGGCGTCAGCGAGAAGCAACTCAGCGACGAGATCCATGAGCTTGGAGCTAAGCGCTACGATGTCAGAACCCATTGGCACAAGCGAGTCATCCGAAGCGGTTCCAATACGCTGTTCCCGTACGCTGAAAACCCTCCGGATCGCATCCTCCAAACGGACGATATCGTCTTCGTGGATCTAGGCCCAGTGTTTGAGGCCTGGGAAGCCGACTTTGGCCGCACGTTTGTGCTTGGAGATGACCCGGTCAAGGCCAGGCTGCGCGACACGTTAGAGCCCTTGTGGAAAAAGGTCAAGTCGCACTTCCAGGACAATCCGGACATAACAGGCGAGGAACTATATCACTTCACCTGTGATTTGGCCAAAGAAGCAGGATGGGAATTCGGTGGCTCCCATGCAGGACACCTCGTCGGCCAATTCCCGCACGAGCGGATTCCGGGAGATAAAGTCGAATTCTATATAACCACGGGCAGCAAGAAGCCAATGAGGCGCACCGGCAAGGACGGACAGCCATTGCATTGGATCTTAGAGGTCCATCTTGTAGACCGCGAACGCCAGATCGGCGGGTTTATGGAGCAACTCTTGACGGTCGATTGAAAAGCCCGACACCCTGTCCGAGAGCAAAGCCCATACGGGGATAGAGATATGTCGCTGTTCACCATACCTACATGTCCAAGGCACGGTTGAAAGAGCTGGAAAATCCTTTGATGGAATGTCCTGTCATTTAATCTGCACCTATAGGAAATATCTGTAGCTCGGCTACATGCTTGTATGTCCTCGACCTACAGGATATTGGAAAATGGCTGGGATCCAAAGAATTCACTGGAGACCACAAGGCTGGAGCTGTAAGGCTGATGTAGCATGTCGCTTATGTAAGACGGTCGTGGGGGGAACCAGAAAGTCTGGGGTGTTTTTGGGGCAACAGTCGCTTGAACTGCGTCCCTCCAAATATACTCGTTGCATACTTGTACATGCTGTGGCATATTGTACATAGGTACTACGCACCTTACGATTGGCTGCTTGGCTGCTTCCTGGCCATCACTGGGCGTTCAAGAGCCTCTGCAAGACGTCCTACAATATCTTATGCGCAACTGATGCATCGCTGGTCTGACAATCTTTTCTCTCACAAGCCTCATCAATGACTGAGCTCGTCCGGCCCGAGGGTGAGCCCGCCTCGCAAGATGACTTCACCGATCGCAGCATCCTCACGCGCATGCAGCGCTTTCGCACCAACCCATTCACCTTCGCACATGAAATATCACTGTTTGTCCGAGGCGTGGGATGGCGAGCCTATGACAATCCAATCGGACAGCCAGTTTTCTACCCGGGCTACACAGCCAATGTCAAGAACGCGGTCATGGCGTCTCCTCTCTTGCGGCAAAAGATCGTCGAGTTGACCGAGCAGCGCTTGAAAGTTGAAGAGAAGGAACATCTCCTGGATACCACCAGCCCGATGTATCTGCCCGAGAGAGAGAAGCGAAGGCATGAAATCACGTCACAATTGATCGAGATCACCGCTGACATGCTGGATAAAATGGTTTGCAAGATGGAAAGCAAGATGTACATTCGGGCAGCTTTCTACGGGACCACGCAGTTGCTCACCAGAGCATACAGTGCGATCCATGTCTCTGAAGCCGAGGTCAGGAGACTCCGTGAAGTTGCAACACTGGCGGCCAAAAAGAAACAATCCATCATATTTCTCCCACGGCATACGAGCCATGTTGACTATGTCACCTTACACCTGGTGTGCTACCGCCTGGGCCTGACCCTTCCGGTTGTCGTCGCTGGCGACAACCTGAATTTCCCACTCGTCGGCAGCTTCTTACAAAACACTGGGGCCATGTGGATTCGGCGAAGCTTCGGGAATGATCAGCTTTATACAACACTCGTACAGTCCTATCTAGACACCCTACTCCAACAGGGACTCAATCTGGAGTGTTTCATTGAAGGCACAAGAAGTCGCACTGGCAAATTACTAGGACCTCGCTTTGGCTTCCTCAGATTTCTCCTCGACTCGGTTATTTCAGGCCGAACGGAAGACGCATACGTTTGCCCGGTGTCCTTGCAGTACGACAAAGTGATTGAGGTCGATTCATACGTCAACGAACTCTTGGGAACCCCCAAACGGAAGGAGAATCTTGCCGACTTCATCTCGGCGTCCTCTGTTCTGTCGCTCAACCTGGGTCGCATCGACTGCAGATTCCACGAGCCTTGGAGCTTGAAAGACTTCATCAAGGAGCAGCAAGCTCGTCAGACCCCGTCCGCTATCGCCGAAGCAGCTTCCTCAAGTTCCAACAGTAGACTTCGGCTGCTACGGACCCTCGGATACAGAGTCCTCTCTGACATTAATGCGGCTTCGGTGATCATGCCCACGGCCCTCGTTGGGACTGTACTATTGACAATACGCGGCCGTGGGGTTGGCAAATCCGAGCTGGTTCGTCGAGTTGACTGGCTCTGCAAACGTATAAGGGCAAACGGTGGTAAAGTGGCCGATTTCAGAGGCATGCCCACCTCTTATGTTGTGGAACGGGCTCTGGATGTCCTTGGGCCGAAGCTCGTCGGTACAGTTGATGGCCTCGCGGAGGAGACCTATTACGCTGTTGACCGCTTTCAGCTGTCATTCTACAGAAATATGACAATCCACCTCTTCATCTCAGAAGCGCTCATTGCGACGGCTCTGTACACCAAGGTGAAACAGGGAGGCGGAAGCGCGAATCAACGTATGCCTGAAGCCGAGTTGACAGATAAAGTTACCTTCTTATCGCAACTGTTTCGAGGAGAGTTCATCTTCCCTGCGGGCCAAGGTCTGCAACACAACCTGGAACAGGCGATGCAGGGGTTGGTGCGAGATGATGTCCTCAGAGTTACGGACGACTTCGAAAGAATGATCGGTCTCTCTGATGCCGAGCGGAAATCAGGTAGAGAGAATTACGACTTGTACTGTTTCCTCATCTGGCCGTTTGTGGATGCTGCATGGCTCGGCGCTGTTTCTTTACTGGCATTGGTGCCTCCGGTCTCATCTGCAGGCTGGGTTGACATGCAAAAGGCTCAAAATATGGCCCAGCTTGCTGGTCGCACGCTGTATCACCAGGGCGATTTGTCTTACTTTGAAGCAGTCAACAAAGAAGCCCTCAAAAACGCCTACAATCGGTTCCAAGAAGAAGGTATCATTGATGTCGCGAAAGGTACAGAGTCAAAGGCAAAAGTCACCGTGCGGCTCGCTCCTGATTGGGCACCTCAAAGAGATCCAAGCACTGGAGAGTTGAGTCCATCCGGTCGCTTATGGGACTTCATTGAGAAGATTGCACAATACCGTCGAGAAGGGAAAAACAGGCGCGACGGGGCCGCCGTCTCAACGCGTGTGCTTTCACTGGCTGCAAGACTCAACCAACAAATCTTTGCAGACGAGGCCGAACCTACGCCACACGCTGATCAGACAACCGTCATGGAACGCAGGAGACCTTCCAAATTGTGATTGATTCAGAACATGCGGGCTGGCATCACTCCTTCTCACGGTCCCAGTGCAAAGGATGCAACCCGATTTTTCAAGGCTGCAAAGCGTCTGCACCAAGTTTCTGCATGCCCGGGCAATACAACAAACATTTTGTCTATGGTTGGAGTCTTGAGTGGAGGGCCCGTCACCTCCCACCTTATTACAACCAAATACACTTCATCTCATGATCGAGACAAAATCCCTATTATCCTCGGGAGTGTAAAAGACTCAGAGGCTGAAATCTGAAGGTTTGCATGTTCGAAGTAATGGTGTGTCTAAACCTGAACTGAACATCCAGGTAGCTAACATGCATGAACAGGGTTGAAGACATGGCCTATGAATATCATATGTGCCAACAAATTGGACAGCAAGATCGTCCACTTGCCAACACTACAAACGAGCTTCTTCCAGTTCAGAGCCAGACCATTAGTCCGGACCATGACAAAAGCGCCGGTTCAGAATACGAAGAAGCACATGCCAAAGGGTGTCAAAGCGCTGCTGCAGCGACGAGTGGTGGACCTGAGCGCGGCTTACGATCACAAGATCAAAGAAATCCGTCGAGGATCTGGATCCGCGGTTATCGTCCCTGCGTGCTTCACAGGCCCCGGACACTGCTTTCCGTCTCGAGATCAAGACTTCGCGATGTCAGCATATTACTATCCCTGTCGCGGCAGCCTCGTCTTGCCACAAATTCAGGCACAGGTGGATCATATCATCACAAACGCGACGACGCTTATATAACACAGTTCGACCGCCCCTAGTATTTTTTGTATACATACATATGTACATATATATAATGTGTTGGAGCTGCGTGCCGAAGTCGCACTTTTCCGCCTGACTTTTATCAGATTGTCAAAGCCATCAAGCTTCAGCGTCCCTTAGCAGTCCGAGACACTTCTATCTCGCGTCTAAGGACATGAGGTGAGCCTTGTGTCTGAAGCAAGAATGGAGCTTGACAAGTTCATATGACGCATTATCCTCCTAAGCCCCGATCGCATCTCTCTCTGTCCCGCTACCTGCATTGACATTTGCTTTCTTATGGTGTACCGAGCAGGCTTACAACCAGAGATTTTCCCATAGATGGCCATCTTCTTTCTCAAGAATACAGCATTTAAGAGGCTAAATGTCAATGATCCAATCATCGGGCCTGCGACGTGCAAACGAGGTTGGGATCTGAGATACACGAACCTCCGAGGAGCATTCACCATATGCCACAAATGGTCTTTAGCGGGACACGATACCGCCATCCCGCGTCTATACGAGCCTTGGCCCCCAGAAGCGAATCCATACCTTGAGGTCTGTCAACCCGCGGAAGTCTCAAGGTGACAGCTGAAGAGGAACCATTAATCAGCACTGCCTCCCAAGCCTCACCAAGCAAAGCCAACCTCGAAAAGGCATTCATCGCCAAGCCGAAATACGAGGCACTTGGGAAGTCGCTTTTCCCCCTCGGCTTCAGGAACCAGCGGAGAAATCGACCATCGCAGCCGTCTCTACAAGAGTTACACCGTTTAGCCATCATGTTTTGAGGGATCGTGCCGTCTCATTCCAGATTCGAACCTCTTTGTCCCAGACATTGTCGTAGGTTCGTTTATCGTGATGCATGGAGAGCGCCAATAGCTTCAGCGAATGTCTGTGAAGCTGGCCTTTCGACTAGCCACACAGCAGGACTGCCGTGATGGATCATGAGCATCAAAAGTCCACTGACACCCTCGGACTTGGAGATGGGTGGACTTCATCACATCCTTCACACGTCTACTTCTGCAACAACATTGAAAACGCCGACCACAGTCGAAGGGCTCGCCTATCTTCTGCGCCAGCTCTCCGCCGTTGATGGGGTTGAACAGTAAAACATATTCAGGGATGGCGGATAAGCCTCTCATAACGCCGGAGAGCTTCATTACTATCACTCAGCCTGCGGACATGGTCAGTGATGAAACGCGCTTCGCAGTCGCATCTCATACAGCCAAGGCGAGACGTCGGAAAAGGCGCAAGGCGGTCGAATTTGAACCAGGGAGAACCATCCACAAGTTTTTGGCCTGGAAAGCACACAGCGAGCCAACTTCGCGACGCAAGCTACCGAAAGACGCCGAGAATAGAGAGCAGAGTTCTGTTGCGGTCGTGCCATACAAGAGCCCGCAGGATCACCCTGCCAACATTCTCAGTCAGGCGAGGGGAGACCCCTTTGCGCGCTACGCCGTCTCTGATATTCCTGGTCTGGTAGGCGAAGTGGTTGATCATGGTACGTTCCGGTAGTCGTCCTCGGTGATTCAACTCGTGCTTGGGAATGGCTAACTTGGTATACAAGCCGTGAGACTCTTCTGGCCCGGCTTAACTCCCAGCAAAGCACCAAACGTGGTGAATCCGGTCAACGACGGCTATATGGAGTCAATCAGGAGCTCTCCGCTTGCATTCTATGCATATATGGTTGCATCTGCCGAAAACTATGAACTCCTGAGCGGGCCCAATATGAAGACGAAGGCGTTCACCAAGCTCTGCCTCGCTTACCGCGTCGAGATGATCAAACTCGTCAATCAAGAAATTGAGGAGATGACTGGCCCACCCTCTGACGAGCTGCTTGGAGCCATCATCGTGCTTGCTGGCAATTCGGCCGGGTTCATCAACCAGGCGAGAGGGTCGTTTCTTAAAGTGGCGAAACCATCGCGCTTCCATTCACCTCTGAGGACGGCACAGTTTCTGCACGTATACAGCACCAATCCATTCCCCAGTGCGCACTCGGAAGCGTTGGTCCGGCTGGTGATCATGAAAGGCGGATGCTCCCAGATCCAATCGGTCGGGGTTGCCAGTGTGGTTGCTCTGTCAGTTTTCCTTTCGGTCAAGTGTTTGGAAGGGTGCTAATCCTCGCGCAGATGCGATCTGGTTATTGCCTCACAGACCAATTCCCGACTCTATGTCCTTCCTATGAGCCCGCCCACCTTTGCGGCTGTGCAAGACTTGTCTCACTTATTGACAAAGTCAGGGATCAAGTGGGATTCTCAATATGCAGTCTGGAGTCAACTACCCCTTCGTCCCTCGGTGAGATCAGAGCTTCTTCAAACTGTTCGGGCAATGCTGGCCGCCAATACTGCACTCGACTGTTACCTGAGCAAGTACGGACCGTCCATGGTCTTTGCCGATATTGTCAACGCCCGCAACGACGCTCAATATCTCCTGCTGAGCCTCTTGCCCACCACCGAGGTTGACGATGAGACGCATTCTATTTCCGAGACGTTCTCGGACCACATTTACGACATCGCCCGCATCGCCCTACGCATATATAGTAACCTGATCCTCTTTCCGATGAACCCCAGCGGCGGCACGAGCCGAATTCTCGCGGGGGCACTGCGCGAGGCAATCATGGAGAGCGAGAGGGCGAACCCATGGCAACTCTTCCCGGACACGTGTAAGCGCATGATGCTCTGGGCGCTCGTTCTGGGCGGGATCCAAGTCGACGACGGCGTCACCGACGCAAACGCCGAGAGGACGTGGTTCGTGGAGCAGCTCGCCGACGTCATGTCGTTCATTGACGTTCTCTCATGGCACCAAGTCGAAGAGTGTTTGGCGGCGTTTATGTGGTTGGATATTATCCTCAACCCGACCGCCGTGGAGCTTTGGGCTGATGCGAGAAGGACAAGAGATCAGGACTTGGAAGCCCTGGAGATGGAAGGTCTGGCTCTGCGGCCGCGGGAGGGTTTGTGATTTTTGTTGAGTTTGACGAGTATCAAACAGAGAGAAAAGGAGCACGGAGTTCATCTTCCGAAAGGGGTTTGAATTGAGACTTTACTTGTTAGTCAGTTTGATTATGGCACAGATGGTTATGGTCACTGGACTGTGGTCGGGGTCGGGGTCGGGTCATTGAGTGTCTGATGTTGAGTCGCCGTTAATATCTGTTGATCTGTCTGGATACCTAAGGTATTGGGGTATCTAGGTATCACTCTCAAGCTATCGTCCCTAGTATTTGTGGGACATGGCATTCTCTTGTCTCTTGTCTCTCGTCCCTCGTCTCTCTACGATTTTACGTGTCCCGAGTACAGAGGAGTAGCCAGTACTAAATCACCGATATTTCATTACCTCTCCCAACACCGCCGAGGCGAGGCGAGGCGAGGCGACGAACCCACGTCTCTTGAGCTTTGACCTTTGACGCTTGAATACTTGGCTGCATCTACTCCGTAGTGGCATCGTGGCATCGTGGCATCGTGCAGATCCGGACTCGTCAAAGCCTGACTCTCTCTCTCTCTACATAGATCCCACCCAGCCACCCACCTATCCTCCACCTCCTTTCCCTATCCTTTCCTTTCCTGTCCTGTCCCCCACAAATTCTTAGAAACGCAAATGGCACGATATATACCCCGTACCTTGTACCGAGTACCCGAATATTCGGTTCGGTACGCCCTTCGGTCTGCTTTCTCCAAACCCCCCCAAGCCCCCCCAACGACGATCTCCTGCCCGACGGTCTACGGTGATAGATCTATTTCCGCCGTGCATTAATTGACTAAACATTAGTAACTTACGGTACCGACTTGCTGACTTACCCGGTCGACTAACTAACGTGCTGCATACCGAGTAAATTAAGTGACTTGGTGGCTGATGACTGACTCGGCGAGTCGGGTAGAGAGAGTGTAAATAGATGATGGACTCCAACTCCAGTGGCCCACACCCGCCCCCAAAGGGCCATAAATCACTGCAGTATATTGCCGAGGATACGTGAGTAGGTAGGTTGATAGCTAGGTATGTATGTACGTATCAGAATCAGACGATATCAGATTATATTATCAGACTATATTGCGGGGCTACCTACCTACCTATCTATCCTACCTACTGCCTACCTACCTGTATCGAGTACGAGAGACGCCACCGCCTCGCCGTCCGTGGGGACAAAATACGGGGTATATACAATAGCATTATTACGTCTTACATAATGCATATGAGATATAATATATACGGTTGACATGTCACGGCACGGTACGCTACGGGTACGGGTTCTCAGTCAGTCACTCATTTCTTCTCCTCCCTTGCAAGGCAAGCACGAAAAGCAAGCAAGCAAGCAAAGCTTCCTCGTACATGTACCACAAGTCGTGCTTAGGTCGGGTCGGGTCTGGTCTTGGTCGCTTGGTGACTTGGTCTCTTGGCAGGTGGCACGTTCTCATCGGCATATGCACTCTTCTCCTCCTTTTTTCTCAAGGAAGAGATAAATCAAAAGCGAGGGTTGGCTGGCACTCTCACTTGTGAAGCTCCTCAAGAAGGGGGCCCCCCAAAAGCCAAGAATGGGGCGTCAAGGCGTCCACCTCCAAGCAGAGTCTTAGACACTCGTTAGAGCCTCTTGGAACTTCTTGTCCATGCAGGGCTTTTACTCGTCTGGCTTAAGGGTGGTCAACTGGAGTTATTTATCCTTGGGTTTCTTGACCCTCGTTACCCCAGTCGTCCCCGATGTCCCCCAGTGTCACCACCCCGGATCTGTATATTGACCCACGTTCACGTCCACAAAGAAAAAAAGAGCCCCATCTCTGCGGGGAGGGAGATTATGAGCCATTACCACGGTCATGGTCATACTTCGAGTACCTAGGCAACTAGGGTGTCGTCCACATTTGGAGACAAGGTAGGGATGGCCCCGTCGCGTCGGTATAGTGGGCGCCGATGCTGGTATAGTGGATGTGTGTGTCTTCAAAAATCCCTTGTCTCGCCCACTTTGTTGCGCACTGTAGTAGAGGGGAAAAAAAGAAAGGGAAAAGGGATCTGTCTGTTTT